CCGCTCAACGTGGCGCTCGTGTTCTCGGGGCCCGCGTACACGGCCGAGGCGGCGCGCCTGGGCCCAGCCGTGGCGGCGGCCGTGCGCAGCCCGGGACTGGACGTGCGGCCCGTGGCGCTGGTGCTCAACGGCTCGGATCCGCGCAGCCTCGTGCTGCAGCTCTGCGACCTGCTGTCGGGGCTGCGGGTGCACGGCGTGGTCTTCGAGGACGACTCGCGCGCGCCCGCCGTCGCGCCCATCCTGGACTTCCTCTCGGCGCAGACCTCGCTGCCCATCGTGGCCGTGCACGGCGGCGCTGCGCTCGTGCTCACGCCCAAGGTGCGCGCGGGCGGGCGGGGGGCGGGGCCGGACACCTGGGGGCGGGGCCACCCGAAGACGTCCCCTCTGGGATTGGGTAGGAGGTAAGAGGCAGAGCCTACTGGAGGGGGCGTGGCCTACCTGGAAGCCCAACGGGGTCTAAAAGAGGCGGACTTACCTGGATGGGCGTGGCCTACAGGATGCGATCAGGGACTCTGAGATGAGTCACCTAGAGTCATGAACAGGTTATAGGAGGGCAAGGATATGGGTCCAGACTTTGTAGGTGAGGACCTTCTGGAGAGGCAAGTCAAGAGACAAGGTGACGTCTAGGGAAAAGGCGAGATCAGCCAACGAGGCACAGGGTCTGGGATGGAAAAGGACCAGTCAGTCGGACCAGATTGGAAGGAGGAGTGGGATCCATCTGGGGGTTAGCGAGATGAAGGGCCAATAGGAAAAAAATGGGAGTCCAGTGAGTGGCGGAGTCCAATGAAGAAGTGAAAACACCAGGATAAAGGGTATCAGGGATAAAGGGCTGGGAAAGGACCCAGCCAGCTAAGCCTTGGGTCAACAGGGAAGGGCGGAGCCATCTATAGTGAAGGAAAGGAGGAACCATTCTTAAGCAGACTCAGTATTCTGTAGACCAAGCATTCTTAAATAGACGAGGCAGGAGAAGCAGCTGTAGGGAAGTAGAATTCAGAGAGATGCTTAGTCAGGCCAGGGCCAGGGTAAAGGTTAGAAATGGAGGAGGGAGGCCTAGAAAGGGAGGAGAACCTGGGGGGCAGGGTTTGAGGAGAGTTATACCAGGCTGGGAGGTGTGGACAAAGGAATGCAAATTAGGTCTTTGAGAATATAGGTCCACCTTCAAGGTGAGACTGACCCCAGCAATTCAAACTAGGAACCAGCAGTGGAAAGTGAGGGTAGGGGCTGCACCTATGTGTGATGGAAGGCCTTCTAGAGTGGAGGAGCAAAGATTTCCAATAGGGAAAATGGCAATAGCATCACGTCTGGCCAGTGGACTGAGAAAGAGAAGGGGCGGGGCCTCGCGACTGGGCGGGGCCACGTTTGTGGGTGGAGCCTAAGTCCCACCACTTCCGTTTGTGAGGGCAGGTGGTTTGTGGATCGCCGCTGCATGCTGGGATTCGTAGTTGTCTCCTGCCCAGAGCATTCTGGGAAGGGCATTTGTCCAACTTTCTCATTCTCCTTGGCACAGAGTTGTCTAGAAATTTGTAGGCAGACTACCTGCAAGGTGAACTTATTACTCCCTAGCTGTCACCTCCAGGTCCGCTCTGATTCCTTGTTGGCAGAGCACTGTCTTCCGGTCACTGTGCGCCCATTGCCTTCTGGGAAATGTAGTCTTCACATTGTCCAAAGCTAGAAGAAAAAGTGGTCCACAGAGCCACATTGAATGCCAGGAATGAGGTCCCTCAGCACACACCCATCTGCTGAACGATGAGGTTCTCTTAAAGTTCTCATAGCCCCACTGCCAGCTGGCAACAACCGCCCTGTCCTTTACACACAGGGAAAAGACACAAAGCAAAAGTCCATGCATTGCTCTCATTGCGTTACTGGAGAGTTTACTGAAAGCCTATCCTGTGCCAGCTTTGTTATATATTCTAGAGAATACTATTGTGAAAAATAAGCAAACAATGGCAAGTTTGCATTCTGATATAGTTTATATTATAACGAGGAGACATAGGAAACAGTGAAGCTGGGCTGTGAGCAAGATGATGGAACAATGATGGAGACCAAGCAGTCAGGGAAGACCTCCCTGCGGAGGTGACCACTGAGATGGACCTGAGGAATGAAAAGTGGAGGAACCGGGGGAAAGAGTCCCTGGCAGAGGCAAGAAGAAAAAAGGCAAAGCTTTGAATCACTAAAGAACTTAACACGTTTGAGTAAGAACTTAACCATGTTTGAGTAAGATGGAGATGGCCAGTGGGTCTGGAGCTCATCTGTGGTGTGAAAGTGGGAGGTCATGGGAGAGGGGCCAGTTCATGCAGGGCCTTGTGGGCCGCAGTGAGGGCTTTGGCTTTAATCCAAAGAAGAAAAATCAGCGTTGGAAGGTTGTCAGTCGAAAAGGACCTGAGATCCAATTAATATTTTTAAACACTTTCTTTGACTGTGGCTGGAGGATGCACTGGAAGACTCAGGAGTGGAAATAGAGACTGGTTGGGAAGCTTTTGTAGTTATCCAGGCATGAGAGGAAGGTGGGGATAATAAAAGAGTGGTGACAGTGGCAATACTGTTGTTGTGTGCCTTTGAGTGGAAAACAACTCATAGCTGACCTTCCAATGAAATTCTCCTGTTTAGCAGTGGTGCATGGATTGGGAAGTTAATCTTTTACCACCAGAGGCCCCTGATAGTGGCAATAGTGACCAACACCCCCACCACCACTGCCATTGAATACATTCCAACTCATAGCCATGCTGTAGGTCAAAGTAAAAGTCCCTTGTAAGTCTTCTGAGGCTGAAAATCTTTGCCGGAGCAGACTGTCACAGCTTTCTCTTCTGACGAACCTGACGATTCTGTCTTCAGATTAGCAACCACCAAGTGCTTAACCACTGCACCACCAGAGAGTATGTTTTTCTGTCCTTTCCATTTTTTTTTTTAACTTTTTAATTGTAACTTGGGTGGAAGTTTACAAATTGGTTTTCCATATGTGGCAATCCATAACGTTTCTTTTGCAAAACACACCAGTTTTATTAAATTTGTTCATCCCCACTTGCTAGCCTTTCTAGCACTTTAAAAAAATTATTTTATTTTATTATTTTTTGTGCATATACCATCAAATCAGATCTGCCTGGTACGGGAGAAGATTGTCCCTCCTTCTCCAGAAGAGCATCTGGTGGATTCGAACCACGCCTCTGAGATTGCAGTGCAGCTTCTTACCACTAGGTCAACCAGAGTTCCTTGCTAGCCCTTCTAAATGATTCCAGAAGAGTAGATTTTGAAGAGAGAGCGCTGAAAGGACCTGGAGCTGGCCTAGATGTGGTTGTGAGGCAAAGGATAAGTGAGGTTTGCGACCTGAGCAACCTAGAGAATAGGAGAAAGATGGGGAGGTGGTTTGAGGTGGAGGAAAGAGGAAAAAGTTCTATAGTGGCATTCTAGTTTCGAGATGTTGCAGGCCGGCCAGTCTATTTCAACTCCTAGCAACTCCATATTACAGAATAGAACAGCCCCATAGGGTTTTCTTCATTGTAGTCTTTAGAACAATGGATCACCAGGTCTTTTCTTCTTTGGAGAAGCTGGTGGGTTAGAACCTCCCACCTTTTTTTCAGTAAATAGTCATGTGTTTAACCATTGCTCTAACAAACATGAAAAAAACCCAAACCTGTTAGGATTCTGACTCATAGCTACCGTATAGCACAAGGTAAACCTGACCCGTAGGGATTTTCCAAGGCTCTAAATGCTAATGAAGCCGACTGCAGCATCTTTCTCCTGAGGAGCGGCTGGTGAGGTCGAACCAGCAACTTTTTGGCTTGGAGCCCAGCGTTTAAGCATTGCACCACCAGAGAGCTCTGACTTTGAAATTCCCCTTGAAAATCCCAGGAGGTGTGTTAAATGCAAAGGAGAATTAGCTTGTCGAGGGCTCACAAAAGAGGCTGCAACTGAGCGTGCAATGTGGTGGTCGTTGGGACATTCTGCAAAGATGAGACGTTCCATATCCGTAGCGTTCACTATGATGCGCACCACAGATGACTGGCGAGTACTTATGTTAGTACATCCGAGGAACAGAATAGTACATTTCCCCCCCACCCTATTTTCATTTGAGTAGCCGCATGTGACTCAAAGAAATCCACACCCACTGTCAACAAGTGATCCCAACTCTTGGCTATCCTTTGTGAAGATCGGAACCACCAATCTTTCAGTTAGTCACCCAACATGTCTCTCACTGCACCACCAAGGCTCCTTATGTGTGGCCAGTGGTGACCCTATTGGACAGCACCAGGGGCAGTAACCCAAGAAAGCACTCCTACATTTGAAATGCTGGTTTAGGAAGAGAGGCCATTAAAGGAGAAAGAGAGGAAAGAGCCAGGGATAGGAGGGCAACCAGATCAGAGGAAGGCCATTCACCAGTTTTTCCATTCATCACCCTCCTTGCATGCTGGGAAATGTCCCCCTTCCCCCCAAAAAGTCAACTTTATTGCATGCTGGGAAATGTAGTCCACCTCATTGCACACAAGAAAACTGAGTCCCTCTTGCTGAATGCTTGAAGCTGTAGTTCTCTCGCTGAGTGTTGAACTCATTGATTGTGGTCCTTTTAGCTGCTGTAACAGATAAACCTCCAAATCTCAGTCAGTCACCATATAAAATCCAAACAGGAGGTCCTGACTGGAGGGTGGCGATCTTCCAAGTGGTGACTCAGGCTTCTTCCTTTTGGGGTTACTGCAGCCCTATTAGGACCTCAAAGTTCTCTTCTGAGACCTTTGCATAGGCCCACAGACCCAGAAAAGAGCGAGGTTCATGAGGTAGGGAGGGAGATCTTATGGGCAAGTCTAGGAGATCTCAGCCATGTGGTGCCCAAGAATGAAAATGAAATGTCTTGAGTAACTTGAGTCCTTGGGTGATGCCAATGCACTTGGCTACAGACCAAAAAGTTGGAGGATCAAGTCCATCCAGAGGCATCTCAGAGAAAAAAACCTCATGATCTACTTCCAAAATCTCAGCCATTGAGTACAATTTGACTCTGATACACACGTGGCTGCCATGACTTGGAATCAACTTGATAGCAACTAGTGGTTGGTTTTTCTTCCCTTGTAGTTGGGGAAGTTAAACAGCTAGTCTGCCATATTGACAATCTGTGGGCCTTTTGGCACCCTCTGGGAGTCTCACTGACTGATAGGAGCTGTGGACCCCTTGTCTATGGGTAGGAGATGAGGACCCTCTTGTTGGCTATTGAAAGCTGAGTTCTGGTTTTCTTCTGGGAGTAGAGTTCCTTGTTAACCTCTGGAGTTTTAACAGCCAATGAGAGAAGGACTTATTTTAGCAGCCAGCGAGGGGCGCTGTGATCGTTTTATGAGTGGTTTGGAGGCGAAGTCACAGCAGTGATCTCTTATTGGCTGCGGGAGAGGTTGTGAGGTTCCCTCATTGGCTGTTAGGATATGACTTCTCCCCTCATTGGCTGCTAAGATATGACTTCCCCCTTCATTGTCGGCTAGGATACAAATTCTCTCCTCATTGGCTACAAGGATACAAACTCTCCCCTCATTGGCTCCTAGGATATGAATTCTCCCCTTACTGCCTCCTAAATGGCTACTAGGAAGACCTGGAGGCATTAAAGACTCTCTGTTTGAATCCAGCAGCTTAAGGGGAGGGGGAGAAGATGGGCAATCTTCTCCTTTGCAATTTATAGCCTGGGAAAGCCATTGGAAGGTCAGCTATGAGTTGGTTCTGACACCATGGCAATGACATTGACTGTTAGGTTATGCTGAGCACTGTGGTTCCTTTATCAGAGGTTGGGAGATGAGGTCCTCTATGTCTGTGGAGCTGTGGGCCCCCTGCTTGGCTACAGGGAGGTGTTGTTTTT